TTAGCATACAATTAGCATAAAACGCGATTAATAAGATGAAAGTGGAAAACTCGTCCAACCCAACTTTCTTAGAGCAAACAACAAGAACTGCTTTTGAACTGATTAAATGTGGTTTCCATGTGTATGTGTATATGGAGCCCACACACGAGGAAGTTCCAACTGTTGGTCTTGACCTTCCCCAACTCGTTTATGTTGCGCAGTCCTACATGGGATGTTTCCCCTATATCATAATGCATGCTGTATTCTAAACATAACACATTTGCTCTTGCGCTATTCGTGTCATAATCCAACCCCTATGTGACGCGCTATGCTTAATGCATACGCGTCTCTAACTTTTGGTTTTAATCTGTTAAAATAAGGGAAGAGAAAATAACCCAACAGTTACCATATTGCAACATTTGCCACACATGCAAGCTTCAGTAATTGTTTTCAACTTGAAATAATATCAATTCATCGAAAGGATGCATCACCATCCACGACAATCTTACGCTGCAATACTGCCCGGTTGGATGGAAGTGGATAACGGAAGAAGGAAATATTACGCAAACAACTCCTCGCTTCGTTGTTGCAAAGATCTGCTTTACACTTCATTTAGAACATTTGTGCACGATACAAAACAAGACTGCACAACGAAGAGCTCTTTGATTGCATGAACATTTTTCACGCAGCCAGTAAGAGCATTTATTTTGCATGGATGCCAAAAAAAAACTTTTTGTTCCTTTATCTACACTATTAATGAGTTCAATTTCATCCATTTTGAAGTAAAGTGGGTTAACCCATTTAATGGGTAAAAAATTACCCATTAATGGGTTTATTTTTTATAAATAAGTTAACTTACTCTACTTCAAAATGGGTGAAATTGTACACATTAATGGGTACTTTCCAGTTACAGTGTATGGAATCTATATAGTATCTATAGAAATGACGTTTAACTTCGATTTAAGTGCCCACGGGAGCCCAACTAAAACGTAGCCTATGGCTAAAAATCTCTATAATAAAGGAAAAAAAAAATAAAGATAGCCTATAACGAGCAAAATTCGACAATTAACGCGGGCTCGTCATCTGCGACCAACAATGTTCCCATTCATGTTGACTCATTATTAATGGGCCGTATAAATAAAAAGAGTTGGCTTTACTTTTCCATGCTTTTCTTACGGGAAAAGTAAAGTAAACGCTTTTATTCATACGACCTAATAGCAGAGCCCTTATATTTGAAATTTACGTTGGCTGTCAAAATGAAATTTCACATTCATCTAGTGATGTTCCAATTTTATTAGTATAATTATCGAATTTCGACTATAAAGGTATCAATGAAGGTGGGCGTTGGCCAAATTTTGATTTTTGAGGTATAATTCTAAATAGGACCTAGGTTATGTAACACTCTAGTAGCCTCAAGTCTGTTCTCTGTCACAATATTTCATTGTGATTAATCAACACTCAATGGGTAAAGTATATAATTTTGGGTGAATTTGAAAGAAAGCAGACCCCCTTCACTCTTTGGAATTTAAAGAGACAGATAACAGCGCCAAACGGTTTGTGACGAGACAACGTTGAAATGCAGCGTTGGAAGAAAACACTCACACCAACATCTAAACATGAGATATCTTTGGCTGTACTGTCCGCTCAGTTGTGTGGGTTCGTACATGTTTAGATGTTGGTGTGAGTGTTTTCTTCTAACGCTGCAGTTCAACGTTGTCTCGTCACAAACCGTTTGGCGCTGTTATCTGTCTCTTTAAATTCCAAAGAGTGAAGGGGGTCTGCTATCTGGCAGAGTGTGTTCGTTTCTGGCTCACCGCGAACCACGACAGTTCTGGCCAGGAAACATACTCACTGTACAAGGGCGAGTGCGTATGTTGGATTATTCTGCAGTATCGTGTTGTGGGTCACTGTTACCTTTTTGTCATCAAAGCTTCATATTTTTTGTTCAATTAAGTAGTTAATAGACAACCTTAAGTTTGGGGGGGGGGAAGTATGTTTGTACAACGTCATATATATGTTTATTTACCTTAAACACTGTATCGATACTACAGTCTACAAAACCTCATACAAAACAATAAACAGTATCTCACATGCCTCCACCATGGCAGGACGACCGAACAATCGTTGTGATTTTATTTCTATTTCTTTTCGTATCAACACGACGTAGGGATTCCACCCGTGAGCGATGAATGACTTCTAGAAGATTCTACGTCCTACGGATAAACGTAGAAAACCCCCTTTCCTACGTTTATCCGTAGGACGAAGAAAATCTAATGGCGTTTCAATGCGTTAGGACGGAATTGAAACTCGTAGAACGAATTCAGAATCAAGAAGCAGTATTAGATTTTAAACAATATCTCAACAATTTGTGACTCTTTACCAAATTCAACGATACCTATGGAAACGTGAATAAATTAAGAAGTCATTCTTGTCCCCCATTCGCTAGGGGCGCTTCTTTTTTTATGAGAACAATGAGCGCTCTAATAGGATTTATAATGTAGCTAATGAAATAGCATTGGAACATACCTATTATTGATTTGTGCACGCTGAAATAATTGATATTATTGATCTTTTCTGATCGATAGAACGGAAATGGGCGATTACGACGAAGTAGCGCTCTACCGTATAGCGTCTAATTTAAACATTACTTCACATGATAATCAAGCAAACATGTTTAATAAACGCTAAATAATAAAAAAAATGATCGAATAAGCTCTGTTACAGCTCATGGAAGTCGAATAAAAGCTTCTCGACATACCTTAACCCACACCATGTTGTGGTTGAATAAATTCTCCAGATTTGTGTGAACAAAGCATGAACTTATTAAAAAAATTGTACAAGTATTATTAAGCATGCAGGTGATTGTTTGCTGGGCTACTTTAAGTTCTTGGTCGTAAGTAGAGAGTAAAAAAATTACCTTTAAAAATCACATCAAATCACAGCTTGGTAACAAATTCGTGTTAAAAAAGTTCAATAAAAATCAGCGTGATTTTACTTCGTGATCTTGAAAGATATTCAAGCCTTAGATATTTCGAAAAATGGTCTAGGAAAATGTACATCCGCTAGACATATTCTTACAAAACTAGAATTTGGAATATTCTTTGAAGCTCGGTAGCTTTAGTATTCGTCCAAATATTTCCAAGGCCAGATTTTTTTGAGTAATAAATTTTATGTGTGCTTCTGGATGGATTCTGTTTATGTGTGGTCACATAAAAAATCATGTGGAAATTCGTCAATAAAAATGTGTGGAATTGTATTAGTGTAGCATTTTTTGTCCGAGTATAGAATGGTAGAGATAGGTGAGACAACAACCAATTGAAGCGTTTGTTGTAATGCCATCTAGTGTCAATTTAAAAAAAAGTATAGATGTAATGATAGTACACGACTAGAAAATGGTTCCCAGCAACCAGTTCACTTTTCCTTACTTTTGATAGTTTGTCTCCTTTTCTCCTTCTAATGTTGCCAAAAACAATGAAAATTAATGAGATAAGATTTAATTTGTTCGTTTGTGGTTGTGTATGAAAAAAAACTGATTAAGGTTGTGTTGGTTCTGCCATGATTATTATATTTGGTGGGTTTGTTCCAGTTATGTCGCTTTCGTTATTGCGGTGTAGCACCGGTGTAGTGTAAACAGGAATTAGCGCGAGTCTTTGACAGCTTAACATCATTAGTTTTTAAACAAAGGTGCATCCTATATCAACACCCTAAATTATTTCGGTGTACGGCAGTGTACAACCGCAAAAACGAAAACGAAATAAATTTCGTATAATTTGAGTGCATCACATGAACTTAAGTTTACTTAAATTGATTTTAATTCAAATTGAAAAAAAAAAGGTTTTGGGCCTACGGGAGAAGAGGTAGTAAAATTATTTTCACTCCCGCGAGTTTTCCTCTCAATCAATAGAAAAAAAAAAAGATAAAACACAACATATTTCCTTCCTTTTAATTAGCTACGGGTGTGACAACGATGGCGAGTTCACTATGTTATATTTTCATTTTATTTCAGCAACCTTATCTTCCAGCAGATGATCCGGACAGCAATTTCAACATTAATAAAAAAAAACTACATATGCCAGCAACACTGACTGGGTGTATCCTATGGCTTACCTTCCCTACTAACATAATTCCTAAATTCCCGAGACATTTATGAGGGGTCGTAGAGTTCTCTGCATCTCTCTTAAGTAAATGTTGGACTAACATACCTTTCCTATCCCTACCAGTTGTAATGACGTGGCCAGGACAATCCTTAACTGTTGGAGCGGGATATGTCTTTCTCTGGGAGTTAGTAATTACTTCGTACTTACTATCTGTCCAGTAATAGATATCCGTCTTGCTCTTAATAGTTTTGAATTCGTACCACCTACGATATTGTGCAACTTGTTCGATGCTAATGCTAATGCTAAAATATTTCCAAGGCCAGATTTAAGAAAGAAAAAAAAAACAATCTATGTTAAAGATCATAAAACACTTCAGAAGTATTTAAATTTTTCTAGGACTGTGAATTTACGTTCTATATTTAAAAAATATGAAAAATTGGTCCGAAATCTTTAAAATTTATCCCGGCATATTACAATTTTTTTCGAGATCCATATTTTAAGTCGATTTTTTAATTTGTTTTTTTTTTTTACATCGCGTGTTCTTTGATAAGTTCTCCTACGGACGTTTTTCAGACGGATCAAAAGTTTTGCTTCTTTGCTATATTTTCTATATGTACTCTGCCGTCATCCGCATAACTGTCCCATGTGCTATGGAATAATTATGGGACTTAGTACATTTATGTGTATAATGGCAGAATCCTCTATAAGCTTGAAATATTAAATATGTTGCTAAGAGGCTAGCCGAGATGGCTGAAAGTTTCTAAAGGAAAAAAAAATGCAAAGACGTTGCTGTACATTTTAAAAGCTTCTGCACATTATTAAGAATCACTGTTCTACCTTTTCAAAATATCATTGAATTCGTCTTAAGCTTCATATTGTTATTCTCAATGGAATCTGTAATCAATCATCATTCATTTCAATTAGGTATAGAAAATGGTGCTTCGAGTATTGGAACGATATCTCCTGCTTACGGTTTAACTGGTCATTCTGGTATCGGCACTGGTGGTGGTATTAGTAACATTAATCAGCATACTAACCATTTATCCTTGAGGGGTATCAACAACGGTGTAACAGAGGACAATAGTTTCAGTTCTGTTGATACAAGGCCACCACCACCTCCTCATACGAGTTTGTTACACATGGCTGGTAATTATAATATTTTAATAGCTTGAAGTTTTATTTTTAACATTTCTAACATATTTAGTTTTATTTTTGTTGTTAAATGCAGTTGAATAAAATCGTTAAGAAGTCGTTTCTTCAAAAGGCGATTGCTTGTTGGGCTATTTTGCGTTCTTGGTCGTAAGTCGAGAGTAAAAAAATTACCTTTAAAAATCACATCAAATCACAGCTTGGTAGCACATTTGTGTTAAAAAAGTTCAATAAAAATCAGCGTGATTTTACTTCGTGATCTTGAAAGATGCCCAAGCCTTAGATATTTCGAAAAATGGTCTAGGAAAATTTACATGCGCAAGACATTTTTTTACAAGACTAGAATTTGGAATATTCCTTAAAGCTGGGTAGCTTTAGTATTCGTCCAAATACTTCCAAGGCCAGATTAAAAAAAAAACAATCTTTGTTCAAGATCATAAAACATTTCAGAAGTATTTAATTTTTTCTAGCTCTGTAAATTTACATTCTATATATAAAAAATATGAAAAATTGGTCCGAAATTTCTAAAATAATAATGATGATTAATAGTAAAATAAAAAGTTTAATACGCACGGATCTTAGGAGTAAGATTGCCCTTCAGAAATGAAAACAGTACAGTTACATATAAACAGACATAACACATTGAATATTTCTCACTGTAAAACATCGTCGCTAAAACATTACCGCCATCTTTTGAGCACACTGTGGTGCAACTGAGTCTAAAATTACGTATAATCAAGATACCGATAATCGAGTCCGACTTGTAGTAGGTATTTAATTTTTTGAACATTTACAAATTTTCATTATGCTTTTATAAATTAGAATCATTTCCCCTACCGATTTTTTGTCATAATATTATTACATAAATCCCAGTCTCGCAAACATTTGATTTGTGTGATTTGTGTTGACAAGCTTCGTTCGCAAGACGTTTACTGTCATTATAATCATAACTGTCCCATGTTCTATGCAATCTTCGTGGACTGTGGGACTCTTATGCGTATAACGGCAGGTTAAGGCTCTTAAAATGCTTCACTTACTATAATTGCTCATGAAATAATTCTCATCGTCAGGTTCGTACCCAACTAACACAACTTCATTCTATATATTTTGTGTGCTATCGTTGTAACTAACAGGAAGGATTTAAATTATTCGACGTGTAACGTATACTCGTTGGCTCATGGTTTTTAGTATTAAAGGGTAATTATTATCACACTTTATTTTCTAACTATGTGCTTACGCTACTTTTTTCTCATGCGATTCTAATATTCCACACATTTTGGATACAACAAAATATAATATAGCAAGTCAAATGGTAGTGTCAAACATACAATCACCAACTTTCCTTATCTCTATATTTATGTTCAAAGTGATTCAAGTGGCCTGACATTTGATCGAGTTAGGGACCATATAGAGTGAAGGAAAGCTGACTGTTGTATAGAATATAGTCAATATCACTTGTACGGTTTCATGGCTAAAATATAATACAAAGTTACAACTCCCTGAAAACCATATACAAAAATTTAAGCTCATTTAAGCTTTATTTTAAAAGTTATCAATGATGCCAATATGTGGGTATCTATTTGTTTTATTTGCATTAATATAATAAACTCACAAAAAAAAAATTATTCAAACAGAAGTTTAACAATATAATTTCACCTATATTTTTTTTCGTAAAGGGAGTCTTGAAACGTTATGTTATAACGTAAGGTCGCTATTCACCGCTCATAGTTCCTTTATCGCTCACTGCATATTAGGGTGTCCCACAATAGCATTCTGTCATGAAACCTGGACGCTCACCCTCCAAATTATAGCTTAGGGTGTTACAAAATAACTTTTGTATAACGGCAATTCTAGGAAATTTTGTTTCAGTGATGGCATAATCATTATCAAAATTATATTTTTTCACTCTCATACGCTCTCAATATACTTCCCAAGTAACAATTTTGGTTTTATGAGGGTTCTGTAGACCATGATTTAGACTTGTAGCATGCTTTAAAACCACTATAAAACTTGCACTGTTACTTGGGATGTGATATTGGAGCAAAATATCATGCTTGATATTGATTTTACAAGCTCCTTTGTTATTGCGAGACTATTTACAACGTGTAAAGTTCAAGCTGAGAGTTGAATCGCCTCAAAAATAACTTCGTTGCACCCCATTTTCTTACAAAGAGAAGACATAATAATGTTATCTCTTTTTTCTCATCACCGAAGGCAGGCACGAAGCGACTGCAACCTTCCATTATGGAAGTTTCGGTTGCGTCCGGGTATAAAGCAAACATCATGAAACTCAATCTCATCACAGTTCGGTGAGATTTGCAGCTGGTGAGTTTTGTTAGCTTGATATTCTGAGCTGCGATATCTCTGCTTACAATACAGCAGTTCAATTTCAAATGACGAATTCTTTTGTTCGACCTTCTACCATTATGTTGAAACTTTGCCCAGTTGTTTGTTATTTTCCAACATGCCATTTTACATATTTGGTTCCCTAGTTTTTGTACACGACTAACACTTGAAAAGGGCTTATGCAAAAATGATACGCATCAATAGAAAAACATATGTCTTGCGAACGATTTGTTTGATTGAGATGGTGTCTAATAAGAAGTTGCGGACAAGTATTGTGCCTTTCAAGGAAAAATATACACAGTAAAAAGTTATATATATTTTTTACAAAAAAATCAAAATTATTAAAAAAAAATTACTCAAATTGCATTTTTTTTTAATTATTTGTATATATTTATTTTGTAGTTTAGATAAAGTAATACCTACTGACACTGTGCATTTGCTGGGCAAATCATAAACAAAAAAGTTATAAATTATTGAAAAAATAAGTACTTTCCAAAATACCACCTACAGTTATCGAATATCTTTAAAATAGTGTTAATACTAAAAAACATCAAATTTACAACATAAAAGCTCATAATGCTTAAATTGCCCAAAGTTGTTATTTTCGAGATACTCGTAGGTTAAAATTCACTTATCGCATATTTTAAGAAATTTTCGCCCATTTGAGATGTTTACTGAAATTGCTTATCTTTTTAAAATATTTTTTTTATATTTATTTTGTAGCTAAGGTAAAGAAATTCCTATTGACACTGTGTATTTGCTGGGCAAATCATAATTAAAAAAGTTATGAATTATTGAAAAAATAAGTATTTTCCTAAATACTACCGATAGTTATCGAATATCTTTGAAAGGGGGGTTTGGTAAAGAGAGATGAAAAAACCGATTTGAACCTTCCTTAAAAGTTGTCCTAGCTCGCTTGTCTAATATCTATATACAATCTTCACACTGCCGTACTCTAACGGAACTATCAACTCTATGCTTTCATCTACTCCATCTATCGTATAAAAATTACCACTACAGTCTGTTATTTGAAATTAGCATCTTCAACTAAACTATTTTAAAGATATTCGATAACTGTAGGTGGTATTTTGGAAAGTACTTATTTTTTCAATAATTCGCAACTTTTTTGTTTATGATTTGCCCAGCAAATGCACAGTCTTCTTCTTCTTCGCATTTCAAGCTTATTTCATAACGCATATTAGCTTATAGCGTGCTCTCAACTTAGTGTTCTAGATGCACTTGCACATTTATTAATTGAGAGCTTTCGATGCCTGTACCATTTTTGCAATGGTATAATTGTGTGGCAAGTCCAATCATACTTCTATGCCCAGGGAAGTCGAGAAATTTGCCAACCCGAAAAATTCCTAGACCGGACCGGGAATTGAACCCAGCCACCTCCAGCATGGTCTTGCTTTGTAGCTGTGCCTTTATCGACTGAGCTAAGGGAGGCCCCAGCAAATGCACAGTGTCAGTAGGTATGACTTTATCTAAACTATAAAGAAAAATAAAAAATAATAAAAAAAAAATGCAATTTGAGTTTGTTTTTTTTTGATAATTTTGATTTTTTTTTGCAAAAAAAAATTATAATTTTTTACAGTGTATATTTTTTTTTGGAAGGCACAATACTTGTCCGCAATTTCTTCTAAGACACCTTCTCGATCAAACAAATCAACTAGATATATATTTTTCTATTAATGCGTATCATTTTTGCATACGCCCTTTTCAAGTGTTAGTCGTGTGCAAAACTAGGGAACCAAATATGTAAAATGGCATGTTGGGCAATAACAAACAACTGTGTAAAGTTTCATCATAATCGTAAAAGGTCGATCCGAAACAATTTGCGAATCTGTGTTGTTTGCTTGTTGATATTAGTCTACGAAAATCAAGCGTGATCTTGTTCTCTGGTGAGATTTGATTTTTCGATATTTTCTTTACACTGGTTTTAAGCTTGTTTAAATTCAATTTTTTGTTACATTTTTTAAATATTTCAAATTGATGATTTATGACAAAAGAAGGTATTAAACATAATTTTACTATTAATCTCTGTCCTATCGATATAAATTGAACATTTCCAGCTCAAAACGCTAAATAAAATGTCAATTTTGTCTCGACCCCTTCCGATTTTAATGAAACACTGTTCACTTGGTTGCTGGTACCAATGGTTGCAATTTAAAAATAATGTATTTGACTTATATACATAATTTTTTTCTTCAAAATAACTTTTGAAAAGGGCGTATTAAAAAGTTGATTATATTTTTTTCAAAAAATCATAACATAAAAACTATTAATCTGATCAAAATGACAGATGTGAAGAAGTTGTAGGTAGTTAAATTAGTTTTTTGGAAAAAGTACTCTGAATGAAAAACTTAGTAAATTAATATTAAAAAACGTAAAACATTGATTATTTCAAAACACTACCCTTCTATCTCTATATTGTTTTATCATGAAAACTGAAGGAATGCCCTAAAATTTGGTGAAAAGTGTAAGCTGGTAAATTGTTTAAAAAAAATCTTTCTTTTAAAAAAAAAAACTGTTATTTTTTTTTAATTTATAAAATTGCCTCCACTCTCACAACTTTCCGTACTCTTCCGGCTTCTGTCCGCCTGTAGCACTCGGTGTCCTCCGCCAAAGTGATGCCGATAGGGATCATACCGGCGATAACGCAGACTGCTTCCGACGAGATGGTTCTGTACGCACTCACGACTCGCATGGCCATGAGCCGGAACGTACTGCTCAGTTTCCTTTGGTTCTGCTTCGTTTCTAGTGCTGCAACCCAGGCTGGACCTCTATACCTCAGTATCGATGACGACACACTGGCCAGAAGACGCCTCTTGCTACTGCTGGGACCAGCATTGTTCGGCATGATTCTAGCTATCGCGTTAATGGCCTTCGAAGCCTTCTCACAGGCATATATTCCCAGGTATGTCAACACACACTTCGAGGCTATGGCGTGCTCCCCGACGGTGATTTCTGCCCGCTGTACCGCTTTACAGTTACTGACCAATAGTTCTTCCGTTTTGTGGAGGGATATCTGCAGCTTCGCTCCTTGCATCCAGTTACCAATCATGTCGATCGCCTCGGTTGACAACTCTCCCAACTCTTCCAGCGTCTCGCCTGTTACCGTCAAGACGACGTCGTCCGCAAGGCCAACGATCTCAACTCTTTTGGGCAGCTTCAGCGTTCGCACGCCGTTGTACATCCCGTTCCAGAGTGTTGGACCAAGGATGTAGCCTTTTGGAACTCCCGCTGTGATCCTAATCGATCTATCTCCCATGTCTGTCTCGTAGACCAGAATACGGTTCTGGAAATAACTCCTCAGGATCCTGCACAGGTAGTCAAGGACCCTCATTCTATGCAGCGCTTCGGCGATGGCCTCCCAGCTGGCGCTGTTGAACGAATTGTTGACGTCGATCGTTATCACGGCGCAATATCGATCTCCTCTCCGGTTCTGTTTGGTGGCCTTCTCAGCTCTCTTGACCACTGTCCGAATTGCATCCCCCGTCGATCTCCCTGTCCGGAATCCGAACTGCCTCTCCGACAATCCGTGCTCATCGACCATCGCTGCGAGAAGTGATGCTGGTGCCTTTATTGACCAGCATAACTTCCAGTTTTGCCAGAGCTTCCAGCAGACTGTGCCCTCTTGCATTGGAACATCTGCTTCCCCACTCCACTGCCCAAGCATTGAAGTCTCCTCCGATGACTACCGGTCGTCGTCCGATCAGCTCTTCGGTAAGTCCATCCAGCATATCATGGAACTTTTGGAGCCGAACCAGCCTCAGGCTAAAAGCCTCCTTAATAAAGATAAATCAATCAATCAATCAATCATGGAACTTCTCCATCATCCATCTGGGGGGTGCGTAATAACTACACATGAAGATTCCATTGACTTTGGCGATCACGAAACCTTCGTATGAGCTCACAACCACTTCTTGAATGGGGTATCTGCCCATAAATTGTATAGTAGTCATCCCAGCTCTATCCGCCACCCAGTTACCGTTATCGGGAGGGACTCGATACGGTTCCGCAATGATTGCAACGTCGCACTTTGTTTCTGTTGTCGACTGCCACCACAGTTGCTGAGCAATGTCGCAATGATTGAGGTTTATTTGGTTTACCTTCATTACTGTTGGCCTGCCATCGTCTTTTTGTATGCTAGGCATTTGAAGCCTCCCGTCGTATGATCGTTACCGTCCTCTTTTTTGCTGAGCATACACCAATATGGCCTTTCTCTCTGCATTTCCTGCACAGATCAGATCTGTCAGGACCATTGCAGTTCCTCGCCTGGTGACCGAATCCCATGCACTTGAAGCATCGCTCCAGTTGCTTGGTAACGCGAGGAGTGGCTTTTAGTGAGCACACTGACCAGCCAACCTTGACCTTGCCCGTCTCCAACAGCTTATTCGCTGCAACAAACGAAAGCCGTATAACCGCCGTTTGCATGCCGCCGTACGCCTTCCTCATTCGGATTGACATCGGGACATCTCCCAGATCGCAGTGCACTCTCAACGCACTTCTTATCTCCTCTTCTGTGGTGATCTCGTCCAGGTCCCTGCACTCGACCACTGTCTCCTCTTACGCTCGCCCCTTCGCCAAGAGACTTTTCGACGAGATTATTGAAGGCTGAGCTCTTGATCGTAGGATCCTTCTTCAGCTCAAAGAGCATCTCGCCTTTCTGGGTGCCCCTGGTTTGCACCACGTTCTCTCCTAGTTGCTTCAACTCCGGATCCTCTCGAACGGAGGAGTGCTGCATACGACGTTTTGTCTTTTGCTTCGACGATCAGAGCATCACCCTTCTCCGCTCCTGATGAGTCCTAGGTATCTCCTTCTTATGTTCTTCTTTCTTCTTCACTTCTTTTTCCTTCCGTTTTTTTCACTTCTCCTTCGGCTTCTGGATGGTACGCCATCCTTCCTCCTTGTTGTCTTCCTTGTCCTTTTTTCAACTCCTCTTCCTCTCCTGGCGTTTCCCTTTTCCTCTTCTCCGAGCGTGGATTTCGAGGTCCCTTTGGCGTCTCCTGTGTTTCAGCTGCTGTTTTCTCTTTATTGCCTTGTGGATGTTGCTCTTATCCTTGACGAAGTCATGGAGTTCATTGATCCTCCTCCTGACCTCCATCAATTTGGTCTCCCAAGCTGCTGGATTGACCTTAAGGTTCAACACTGGTGATCTCTGCAATATCCTGCTCCTTGCAAACATGTTCGCTCCTCCGTTTTCACTTTCTGGCGTCTTGTCGTCGTCCTTCATATTTTTTTGGGGTTTATTATTTTCTTCTTTTTTGTTTTTTTCTCCGTTTTTCTCCATTCTGTTGGGTCGCTATCTACACTCGTAGTCGCCTATCGTGATCCCATGGTTATCTATGCAACCAAGGAGGCCATGCTAAGGTTGACACGGTCCTTCATGGGGGCCGTGTTCAGAGCCAGATCAGCGTAAGTCAGGAATGTTACATCTGAGCCTACTTTTCACCAACCGTCATTGGTGACGAGTTTTGAACGTATCCGAAGGCATGCCAAGGTTTTATCGGGACGGGGCAGCCGCACTATTATCATAGAGGTAACTCTAAGACTAGAAGGTTCCGAAATAACGTGCTCAACTTTTTGGCTTAGCTCTGGTACTCTCTTCGGTCCCAAGCTAATCGATTCACCCCTCGAAACATAGGAAAAAACAATAACCCCTCATTTTATCTATCAAACTTTCATAGCGAATCAAAACAAACATTGCGTAGTACTAGAATTTCGACTAGAATGGGATACGTTAAACGTTTGCTTGGGACCAATAGGCTAGTCAAGTAGTGAGCCAATTTAAAATCGTTAGTTTCGTATTGATTGTTCCTATTATCCCACTCGCCATTTCAAGAAGGTACCACCCTTCTTTACTCAGGGACCAGAATAGCACGACTGTCAGCCCTTTAGCGTTGTATCCAATCCATTGTGCCGTTTCGTGTCCATTATTTCATGCCGTGTCCAGTATGCCGTAATTAGGATCTTACTGGCGTCCAGCGATTTTCTGATCGCCTCTTCGCGAAGAGTGGCTGCGAGAAATGATAAAATCGCTTATTGCGACTCATGTAGCAAAATTGGCAGGTATTATGTGTCAAACACAAACTTCACTATTTTTTTCTTATTGCTTACACAAACTTCACTATTTGTTTTTCTTATTGCTTACACAAACTTCATTATTTTTTTCTTATTGCTTACACAAACTATCTTATTATTCCATAAATTCATAAAATATTTGTATAGCCATGGAATGGAAGGCACCCGGAAGTGAAGAAGCCTAACATTTTAAATTTTATTGCATTAAGTCACCAAAAATTTGTATATTGCTCAAGGTGATCATTATGCTCCTTTCCCTATTTACTCTCTCAGCACGAAACCGTACAATACGATTCTGACATCAATAAATGTATAGGTACTTAATGCTTACATAAAAATTTATAAATAATCTTATACGTTACCAATTAACCATTTCATTCGAGCAGTTGAAAATAACTTTTCCTACCACTCGAATATTACGTAACACAACAATTGCGTTTTTACAAACGGGAGGTATGTAAAACCCATTTTTGTGTTACGTAATATTTGAACGGGCCCTAATTTGTTGATTCAGAATCGCTAGTAGAAAGTCATTTGAAAAGTCCATTGAAAATTCTACTCATGCTTATTTTTTTTATTTCAATAGGTGATTTGAATAAAGCTGTTGAGGAGTTGGTGAATGTTATCACTGAGCAGAAAATTGAACAACAAAACGGCAATGGAATTCATCATTTGACTGATAAATAATTTGAGCAAACGAGCTATTTATTGTGGCTCAAAGCACAATTATCCAATGCGGTTTGTAATATTTACAGCAACTGTCGAGGAGTGTAGTGAATCGTAGGTATATTGCATAACCAATAGAAACATATTGTTTCTTTGTAACTAATCTTATACGAAAACAATAATACATTAAATAAGCTAATAATGGAGCAACATATCTAACCCAAACACAAAACGTAGAGAATTTTTATGTGAATACAAAAAAACCCAACAGTTTTAAATCGATATCATACGAAACATTTGATATACCATGAGGGTACCAATTTCTATTAATTTTCCCATAGTCGCTTGCACGGCCAATGAAATCAACCCAAATTTAAGTTCAGTTTACTCATAATCGCAAAAGGTGCTGTAACTCAGCGATGAGTAAATTTGTGTCATGTTTTCCTGTGTCAAACTTCTCAAATCTGCCGGAAAATGGCGAAAATTGACGAAAATTTTACTGAGTCTAGGAGCAGTACCAATAGACTGAGAGAATCCAATCTTTACTTTTGTCGTATTCGGGATTTTTTCCTGGAAAAACCTGTAAAAACATTAAGTAAATTAACTCGCTGAGTTCCTGCACTTTTTATGATGGGTGAGTAAACTTAACTCAAATTTGCGTTGATTTCATTGGTGATGCACTAGTGTTAAAAACAGTAAACTGTTTTAAATAAATACTGTATATTTTGTCGATACTTGCATTTGCGTTTTTAAATAGATGAACTTCGGTTAAAAATCTTTATAATAAAGAGAAAATAATGCGTTTATGTCGTTTTGTTTTTGAGTTTTTTAAGCGGAAATGATAACTTACCGCTCCGAAAAAAATAATAATGTTTTGCAAGAAATTTTGAATGTTTTGAAGAAAACACACTTAAATATTCCTATTGGTTTTGTCGTGGGATATGGTGGAAAATGGTGAAATCTAAATTTGATGTTGTGATTTCGCTGATAATGATTACTCAGGTTGGTGTCGTTTTGGCCGTTTTAAGGGTTAAAATATCAAAATTGAGAGCAAACAAATCTTCCTATGACATCACATTGAAAACTATTTCTGCTATCGGTGAAAACAAACTGAAAACTAAATTTGATATCAATTTTTCCTGTTGATAACAAAACAAGTCAAGCTGAACATTGCATTAGGTTCTAAGTAACATTGACAGATTCTCTTCGTCGACTTTCTCTTTGTATTTCCACAGCCATATCAAGCTGAACATTGCATTAGGTTCTAAGTAACATTGATCGATTCTCTTCGTCGACTTTCTCTTTCGTTAATAACTTGAGCACATAACCGTTTCTTGTTGTGTTTGGCGTATTAGATGCTAGATAAAAGCTTCTTTTATCGATCTGTGTGCTGAAAATACCTGGGAATGTCTTTACATGGCCGTGGGGATACAAAGAGAAAGTCGACGAAGAGAATCTGTCAATGTTACTTAGGACCTAATGCAAAGTTCTTGATATAAAGACATGCCCAGGTATTTTCAGCACACAGATCGTTAAAAGAAGCTTTTATCTAGCACCTAATACGACAAACACAACAAGTAACGGTTATGTGCTCAAGTTATTAACGAAAGAGAAAGTCGACGAAGAGAATCGATCAATATTACTTAGGACCTAATGCAATGTTCAGCTTGAAGTATTCAATTTGATGTTATGCTAAGGCAATGAAAACAAACCCGCAACAACATATTTTTGAAGAGCAAATGTACAGCAAAATGAAAACAAAATTAGGTATCAAATTTGTCCATTGCGTAAACTGAAATCAAATTATGATTTCAGTTTCATGTTGATATCAAAAGTTGATTTCAATTTGCTGTCATTTTGATGCTGGACTTTGCTCGGGTCCCGTGTGTACAAAACTTGCAGTTTTCAACACCAGCAACATGAGCGAAAATTAGTACACTGATGGTATATCGATTCATTTTATTTTTGTTGGCTTTTATGTAGAAATAACTTCGATTTTGTACTATTTTCTATTGGATGATATAAATGAACTACAAACAATCATTAAACTTTAAATACTAAAGTCGCTACTAAAAAACAAAAAAAAAAAATAGCATTCATATCAGCAAATAATCAATACTTAGCAGTGACAGTTATGCTTGATGACCTGATAGAAACCTGTAAAACTGAAACACATATCCCGAGGTTAGATGCAAGTTTTGTCACATTTTTTGTTTGTACCGATCACATTACAAAACAAGGACATAGAATATATCCATACGGATGAAACAAAAAAAACTACGAATTTTTAACCCAATAAGGTGATCCAAGAGACGTTTCTCAGTGGAACTGACAGCTATAAATCTAGATGTCATGATGCTGAATGTAAACATAAAAAAACAGAAATTCATATGAGAATAAACTGCCAGTTTTACTGTGATCTATCAAAAGTTCTTGGTAAACAAAAAAGTCAGCTGATCGCAACTGTCTCGTGGACAGCCTTATAGCATATGAAAGCACAGCACATATTGAATGTAATAGTACGTTCATACTACAGAGTTATAACATGTTATAACGGTTGTCAAATAATTGCAGCACAGAGCCACTATCAAGATAGCGCTATAACACGTTATAACTCTGTAGTCTGAACAAGGCATATAGCGCTGTCCAGACTGAGCAGTAATAACATGTTATAACGGTTATCAAATAATCGCAACACAGAAACCACCATCAAGATAGCGCTATAACATGTTATAACTCTGTAGTCTGAACGTACTATAAGACGATTAGAATCAACAATATCTTAAAATTGAGATTTATAAAATAGTGAATAATTTGCTGGCATTGGTTTGGAAATTCCGCGAATAGTCTGCAAATAGGTTTTGCACCGCCGGGTTTAACCTAAATCGGATGACAGTTCAGTAGTACTGTTCACGTGGACTTAGTCGATTTTTTGAAGGGTAGATTTTCTCGATAATTTTTCAAACTGCAGTGAGATGTAAAACACACTTCTGCAATGTCCTCCACGGAATTCTTAATTATTATTTTTTCGAAAAAAATTTAAGTGCTGGTAAACAGCTTAGAGGAAGAGGAGACAACTGCCTTCTTACTCTTTTATAGCGGTAAGCTCCATTGAGGATAATATCAAAGATGAATACTAAGATGAAACTGTCGGAGGAAAAACGTTCTATTTTAGTGTCCTCTTTGACGGTCCCTTTCATCCATTGAATACCCCTCGTATTCAAGGTAATTTTGTGGTTTTGCTGCCCCCTCGGTAGAGATGAAATTTTGCGTTCATTTTTATCAAAACAAACACACCAAAATCAGAGGTGTCCCATTTTTTAATTACTCGATTAACAACTAATCGATTTTTTTTTGTTCGCTGTGCTGCCATTTTTCCACCAATGAGAGTGCAGCACATGTTTGAAACGATCGGTGATGATCCTCTGGAGAAGTTAATGCTTATATCGGCATGATATAACCGATTGCAAATATTTTACTTTTCGGTTCGTTAATCGATTAATCGATAATTCGAATGAATATCGGCCATCACTAGATGAATGTGAAACGTCATTTCAAATATATGGACCGTACATAAATAATGATACAATTTGAAAGGGACCGGGGCTCATCACAAATTACGTCCACACGGTAACTGAAATAAACACGAGTGTTCACCGGTTGATAAATAATACGCCAATCTCGTACTATCCTCGATTTTGCTAAGCACCATGGCGTATTATCAACAATCAATACGAAACTATAGATTTTAAATTGGCTCACTACTTGACTAGCCTATTGGTCCCAAGCAAATCGATTAACGTACCTCATTCTAGTCGAAATTCTAGTACTACACAATGTTTGTTTTGATTTGCTATGAAAGTTTGACAGATAAAATGAGGGGTTCGTGGATTTTCCTATGTTTCGAGGGGTGCATCGATTAGTTTGGGACCGAAGAGAGTACCAGAGCTGAGCCAAAAAGTTGAGCACGTTTCTTCGGGACCTACTAGTATTATAGCGGTAATCTCCATCGAGGATAATTCGCCAATCTCGTACTATCCTCGATTTTGCTAAGCACCATGGCGTATTATCATAGAGGCTTTAAGACCAGAAGGTCCCGAAGAAACGAGCTCAACTTTTTGGCTCAGCTCTGGTACTGTCTTCGGTCCCAAGCTAATCGATGCACCCCTCGAAACATAGGAAAATCCACGAACCCTTCATTTTATCTGTCAAACTTTCATAGTGAATCAAAACAAACATTGTGTAGTACTAAAATTTCGACTGGAATGGGATATGTTAATCGTTTGCTTGGGACCAATAGGCTAGTTAAGTAGTGAGCCAATTTAAAATCTTAAGTTTCGAATTGATTGTTGGTATTATCCTCAATTTAAATCTCGGATGTCACTTTATTACCCCGATTTCGGGGTATTAACGAAAATCCGAGATTTTCAACAAGTACGCAGCCAAAACAAAATCTGGCTTTCTCCGCTATTGACGAGTGACTCTAAGATGAAAGTGGAGCTTAAGTGAATTTACTTAGAAAAGTTTTTTCATGCTGGTGGTAACAGAGAATTGGTTGTATAGGACGCCAATATTCAATAAATGTTCATTTTGGCCTTTTTTAAGCAAACATATTGCCACTCACAATTTTCGACGGAAAACGCACCGGGACTTGATTTACTCAACACGCACCGTACTATAAAATGGTGCTCAATGGTTTATAAAGTGTTAACAAGATGACAAATCATCTTTATTTTGAGTAATTTAGCAATTTACTTCTGTTTACATCATACGTACGATGCAGCATTGATGGAGCCGTGAAATGAAATGAATATATCTTATGAAAGTTCATCTGGAAAAGTCAAAGATGCACATCAGTCTGATCGTAAAAATATTTTCTTCTTCAATTCGAATGTTATATTGGAAGGATTTCACGCAGGCTTGATGGAAATTATGATTTAATGCAAATTTTCACGAATTTTATATGCAGTCTGTCAACATTATCATCATCATGCAGTGGCGACATCTGCGTCGAGCTTTTACGGCAATCTTCCAATAAGATGTCGCCTCTTTACCCAATTCAGTCTCTTTACCTAATTCCACTGAGAAACGTATCTTGGATCACCTTTTATATCAGGCGTAACATTTGATAACGGCACAAAAGCATTTGTAAACACACTTTCTAAGGCCCTTTACACGCAAACCAAAGTACGCCCACGCAAACCAATACCACTTTCGAAAAGGTGAGAGTTGCCCTTATCCAATGATGTTGTTGGTTTGTGTGAGCGTACTTCGATTCGCATGTAAAGGGCCTTAAAAAGATTGTTTACAAAAGCTTTTGTGCTGTTATCAAATGTTATGCCTGATATTAGATTGTGCAGCGTGACGTCACTAATGAACTCAATGTTAAGGGTTGATGCGTATATTAGGTCACGCTATAAGGGGGAGGGGTCTAAGATTTTGAAACAAGCAATGCAATGTATAGGAAAAACGTCACTTAATTTTTCTCGGATTGGTGCGAATGTTACTTACGACATAATGAAAATTTGCTCTTGAAGTTTTTTTTTGATGACCGAAAAGTTATTCCTATTTCCAATTAAACACATATAATCTCATAGTGATGGCAATGTTTAACATATTAAGCAGGGTTTTAATCATACAAATGCAAATCGCTAGCTTTCATGCTAAAAAATATTGGTTTTTGAGTCAAAAGTTATTATACGTCGTTTGGTGGCCCTTATTGTTACTTAAGTCAAAGTGTATTTACCAGGATATTCGGGAGAATAATCAATTACGTCTCCTTACGTGCAGCCCATTCATCATTTTAGGACCACCGAAATCATCTTAGCAACAAACAGTTCGATTTATTCACTTTAATAATGAGAAAGCGAAACGATGAAAGTACACTTTTCACGGGTTTCTCAGTGCTGTTACTTAAGACAAACGGCATCTCCATAAAAATCGGGTGACTTAAGTAACATCGAAAACTATTTTGATCGGAAGGTGATTACGTCAAAAAGCAATTTGACTGGTAAATAAATTTAAAAATGGGATGTGATCCTATATTCGGACAGTATATAGTGTAAAAGCAGGCCCATCGATTGACACTGATAGCTCGACTTTGTTTACCTTTGTTACTTTTTTTATATTAATTTATTTGTTTTTGTTACTTTCGACGTAATGAAAATTTCCTCTTAGACTTCGTCGTTTAAAAAAAAAAATTATAAAATTTCCGAATTTTAACTTGAAAATTGTCGAGGAACAGCGCGTTGCAAAGATGTTGCTCGTGAACGTTGCAGAAGTATGGTTTACACCTCACTATAGTCTGAAAAATTATCGAGAAAATCCACCCAAGAAAAAATTGACAAGTCCACGTAAACAGTACCACTGAACTGTCATCAGATTGAGGTTAACCCCGACGGTGCAAAACCTAATACATGTAGGGGAAATGGATGTAATGTCGGCAAAAATGCTTCTAATTTGGGCCCATACATACAGCAATCGACTAAATTTTCAATAGCGACCAAAAATATCCAGTCCCAATGACGCGTTCATCTAGATAAAATTGATTAATAGCAGATTTTCAACGATGGGCCCAATCTTATATCTATAGGCCAACATTAGAGCCTTTTCAAAAATCAACTAAGTCCACGTAAACAGTACCACTGTACTATCATTATATTGAGGTTAGCCACAACGGTGCAACACCTAATTGCCAAATTGTGTCTGGGACTGATAAGCAAAGGTTATTCGACTCATTTAACTATGCAAATGTTTTTTGTTCGTTAATTCATTGGATGTTATGATGATATGTTGTTACAAGTTGTTGTATGACATAACATGAGAGTTTTTATGACATGACAAAAAAGGTTATTTGTTTGAGTAGATTATAAAATCGCTCTTTGTGAAAGCAAAATTGACTTGTTTTATTTGTCAAATATATGGTTAACAACCTCGTCTTATTGTATTACAAGTACAAAATAGTATAATAACTTTTAATGATTTCACAATTTAAAAAATACTTTTTTATAACGAAATGAGTCGAACAACCTTGCTGATATGCGATTATAGGCATTGAAAAAATAGTAGCAAATAAATGTTTTTAAACGGTAAACTATTCACTACACCATATTCGCTTGGTTGATAACGAGCTACCATTAAGCCGGCGCCGGTGGTGTAGTGATAAGCGTGACTGATGAAAATTACAAA